AAATTTCCAGTAAAAAGCGAAAATTACTATTGTTCGGACGTTATTTTGAGTCGCCACTTCAAGAGACTTCCTGTAGCATGAAACAAACTGCTCCTGTATGGCTGCATTAACCCCTTGATGAGCCTGGGGACCAACAGTGTGTATTATATCTGTGAAAAATCACATATTCCGTTAATTAGCCAATGAATTTCTATCTTCAAAGAGGTGTTCAAATCAATTCAAATCAAATGAAAAAAAATTATTTGCAGGAAGACAATAATCCAAGATAAAAAAACAAATGAAACAGCTATCCTAATAGAAACTATGTATGTTAATCCGAGTCGAGAGAAACCAACTTTTGACATTCTGCATTCGACAAGCACTTGTAATCACTGCATCACCTGTGGCGCAGTGACGATATCTCTTGACACACTCTTCTGCGAGTTCTGGACCGGCAGCTCTATGAATAGCACCATCCACGCCTCCTCCTTAACATTCGATTGACGCCAATCTTATGTTTCACTTTAAAGTAAAAAAGCTAAGGGTCCTTAGGTCATCAGAAATACTAGTTCTAAGTTATTACAAAAGTCATGAACAAATAAATTTTGTGTACTAACTAGAAGTCTTCCAATGCGATAAATGATAAACCAGAAGAGAAAACGCGATATCACAGTTGCAGTTATGAAAGAATCAACCAAAGATGTTACCTCCTCTTAATGACCGGTTCGCTGCGTTGACAATTGCATCTATCTCAAGTTTTGTTATATCACCCTGCCACAGCGAAATTTTTGACGCTAACAAATTGGTAAGTTTCGCCCAGTTTGCCTCAGCCAACGTTTGCACATTTTTTAGGGCCACAGTTGTCATGGTCGACTTCAACAGGCAATCTGTAAAGAAATACAACTAGAAGATGTTCAGCATAGGTAGTATCAACCGAACAATCCGACCGATTTGCTTTTGTCGCTTATCTAAGCCATGTAAGAATTGTGCAGTTGCGCATTAAAACGATAATCTGCCTAAGGAAACTTTTGACAGCTCCTTCAGCAATACCGATGCTATTCCTTCATCTAACACCTTGAACTTTCTATGAAGTGATCCGCAGCCATAAAACATTCAAACAACAATCGATGCAGACCTCAAATGTCACCACTTTTAAGTTATTCTTCTTCTTCGTATGCAAACTAGTCAAGGTTTATTGATTTGCTGAAGTATTCTCTTCAATATACACATATTTCGTGGAGTCGTCGGACGCTTTAAATAACTCAATAGTGAAGTAAAAATACTACTACTATCCTGAAGTCTTCTTGTTATTCCGAAAGTTTCCACCAGTTCTTCCTGCGTTTCGGTCGCCGACCAACTAGTCCTGAACAGAAAAACAAAACTGATGATCAGGTGGTAAATAGTTAGTGCAATTGAACCGTTCAATCTCCGTCAAACTGCACACCAAAGGCTCATAAGTGACAACAACTACACAATGCAACGTGCAGATCAGAAACTGACGTTGCAGATCAGAAACTGACGTATCAAAAGTGCCTCTTTAATTGACCAGTTTATTTGTAGTTTTAAGTGGTAAAGACTATTGGGATTTGACAAAATCACACCCTGCAGCAGCCGTAGATTTATAGGCCAACTGCTTCAGCAGATATAAAACAAAAAAATTGACTTATTGACTTAATTGTCTTTCAATGTAGACCTTGATATCCAAAAAGAAAAAACTCTATTGCAGCAGTATCAGT